GAATATTTTTGCTTTGGATTGGTCTATTGTTTTTAATGAATAAATACGTAATATTTTTGTTTGTTTTCAATTAGGAATGTTAATATAGAGGACACCACTGGCTTTTGCTTGAGAAGGAACCACGTTGGAAAGGTTGGCTCTGGGAAAAAATACAGGCTGCATATCTTTCCTTTCCTCTTCTACACACCCTTTCACGTCCGTATGGAGATCGGAGAGCGAATTTTGACTCATCTGTAAAAAGTACAGCACTCCATTCGTCCATAGTCCAATGGCTGTGTTCTCGAGCAAAAGCCGGCCGTGTTACTCTATGAGTTCTGGTCAACTCTGGTCCTCTTACTGGACGAAAAGCCATTAATCCATACTCATTAAATCTACTCCGAGCGGTACGTTCAGAAATTTGCACAACTCGAACTTCTTCGAGCTGATGAATCGCTTGAATAACGGTCAGGTGGCGGTTTCGTAAAATTCTCAAAGTCAAAAACCGGTCATACCGTGGTTCTGTTACCCTAGGCCGTCCAGAAACGGGCCTTCTATTGTAAGAACCAGTTTCCCGAAAACACCTGACGGCGTCTCGTAAAGTTTCATATGGAACTTCGATGGCATTAGCTGCATATCTAATGGAACGTCCATTATCAATAAGTGCCACACCACGCGCAACATCCTCACCACTAAGAGGCATTTTTAAACTTAATATTGAAAAAATTAAAAGTCGGAGACTAAGAAATGGGCTGCAAGAAACGGCACTGAACTAATGTTACTGAATAAACATTTTGATTCCATAGAAAGTAAACATTGGAATCTAGAATCATTTCATTGAATTAAGGATTAAGGTTTATTGTCCTCTATATTAACATTCCTAATTGAAAACAAACAAAAATATTACTTATTTATTCATTAAAAACAATAGAAAAATCCAAAGTAGAAATATTTTTAGATGAAAACATGAAAAAATCAAGTGGGTGGAATTTTTTGACTGTCAGTATATATTCCAACGAAACTCCAAGACTCACTGTTGGTAGCAGTGGGATAGGGGTATACCCCGGCAGATAGCCCTGCGTGTATTGGGATTAAAACATACAATGGAAAATTCTAAACAAAATCAGAAGGGAGTAGGAAGGGAGGTAAGAGACGAGAGAAAGAAGATTCTATAAACGTAAAATCAAGTAGAACTGGAGAACATGAAGACGGCAAACACTGAGGAAATCAGAAACGATTTAACCACTACTGTGTTAAATAAGGTGCTAGAAAATGTAGCACCACAACAACACACTATCAAGATACAGAATATAGGTAAAAACCGCTCAATTATCAGATCAGCACACTGAGGTAGCCGAAGTCAGCAAAGCCAACATGAGGATATACATGGTAACCATGTATATGAGGTTTAATTTGCCGATCAACAGCTTCGTAGACCGCATGCAGTATATATGTGATTCACTGAGTGGAGAACGAATACTGTTTGCTGCGGATGCAAACGCCAAGTCCCCCTATTGGAGTACAATTCCACAGGCAGACGAGAGAGGGATTGAAGTCGAGATCATCATAGACAGAAACAACCCCAGTTTGCTGAATAATCGAGCTGCAGCGACATTTTACACAATACACAACTAGGTCAGCCACCTCAATTGACGTAACTTTAGTGAACAACCAACTAAAATAGCAGGTAAGAGGGTGGAGAACCCGGAAAGATATATGCTCCAGTCAGCATGTCTTAATAAAAGTCCAATTAAACACTAAGATGACACACGGAGCAACGAGATAAACTCCTAGATTCAATATTAAGAAAGCCGACTGGGCTTTCTGATACAGACTGATATGACTGATATAGAAACACCCTCCAGAGAGAAATCAGCAGAGTACCGGCTGAGATTAGAAACCCCACAGAGTTGTTCAAAAGGGTACAGTCTCTCCAAAATGCTATAGCGAAGGCTGCCTCTGAGGCAATGCCTACTTGTAAATACGGAAGAAGCAAGAAGGTTCCCTGGTGGAATGAAGAGTTAACCAAACTCAAGAGAGAGTGTACTTGCGGGAAACTGTCCAAAAGACCAACGACGTAGGGGAAAAAGAGCTCCTGAAGCGTCAATATGAGGTGAAGAGAAGGCTCTACACAAATCGAATTAAAAGTTGTAAAAAAGACCAGTAGCGAAAATTCGTCATAGACCTCAACGAACAAGGCCCATGGAACATAGCTTACAAGATCTCATTCGACAATACCGGTGGCTGAGGTTCTCTCGGCCTCGTATCAGAAGACCCGCCAGATAACCAGCTACAGGCAGAGATAAGAGAGGAGGTGAAACGATGTGTCCCAACCAAAGGGAATGAGGCAAGTTTCGAAGAAGGCGAAGTGGAAACAACAGTGATGGCCTGCAAGAAAGGGAAGGTTCCAGGGATGGATGGAATAGCTGCCGAAATGGTACAGGAGGGCTTTTGCATACTAAAGCATGTTCTGAGAAGCATTTTTAACGCTTGGCTCCACCTCGGAACATTCCCTGACATGTGGAAGGTCGGGAAACTTGTCTGTATCCTCAAGGGAGAGGACAAAGACCCCACTGACCTGCGATCATACAGACCCATATGTCTACTCCCAATATTGAGGAAGATCCTGGAAAGACTGATAGCTAAGAGATTACCATACCTACTAGATAAAGGACTATCAGAACGGCAGTATGGATTCAGAAAAGAGAGATCGACAGTAGATGCAATCAGCGAGTTTATAAAAGCAACTGAGGAACAAGAAAAGCACTACTGCCTAGCAGTATTTATAGATATCCACGGAACTTCCGACCACCTGTGGTGGCCCATGCTGTACAAGGAGCTGAGAAGGCTTAGATGCCCTTCCAACGTTTACCAGCTACTCAGACACCAAAAGGTGCTTCAGGATGTACAACACAACCAAGTTTGCAGGGGAGGAAGTATCAAGAGGATGTCCACGAAATCAGTACTGGGCCCCAAGATGTGAAACTTAATCATGGACACTAACCTACAAGCTATGGATATCGAAGGGTGCAGCACGATTGCATTTGTTGACGATCAAGTATTAATACTGCGAGGAAATTCAAGGAGAAAACTAGAGGTAATAGGTAACAAAGCGATGTAGAAAATCCAAGAATGGGCAGATGTTAATAAGCTCACAATATAGCAAACAAAGACCAAACTGGTGATGTTGAAGAACAGCTTCGATGTAGAGAGACTACCCAGAATCCAGCTCAAGGGGAACCAAATACAAATGTTAAAGGAATTTAAATACCTTGGGGTGACGTTCACGGAGGGTCTTAGAATCCAAGTCTTAGAGTGCAGAGGCAAGCACTGTAGAGAGTGTTCAAGGCGTACAGAACGGTCTTAAGGGACGCATTATCGGTAATCGCAGGAGTTCTGCCGGCTGACCTCATCAAAAAAGCAACACTTAACTACAAGCTAAGGAAGAGAATTCCGTTCCAGATGGGAGAATCGGTCTACGATCAAGACTACTATGGAGCGGAAGACTACGACCCCAAGAATGAAGATCTCAAGATCACCAGGTGCTTATTAGAAGACTGACAGTACAATTGGGAGACATCGACAAAGGGAAGAGACACCTACAAGTTTTACCCCGATGTTACAAAAAGATACTGGGAGAAAGAAGCAAACCCAGGACACATCGTGACACAGTTCTTGACTGGTCATGGTAATTTTAAAGACAAGCTGGCTTACTTTAAATTATCAAAGGACAACCTGTGTCCCTGCGGGGAACCAGAGGACGTGTGGCAAATGGTCTACCACTGCGACTACGATTATCAGAGGATATCGATGTTCGCGAGATAGATACAGAATACACTAGAAAGTAGGTAAGGACAGAGTCCCCTAGAATCAACCACATCTTTCTAGAATCAAACCACAACCTACTCCGTAGGTAACGATATGAATGTAAATAAACGTAGATGACAGAAGACAATGAAGTCGAATAATTAAGCCGGGATATATAATAAGTTGAAGATACAGTAATTTCGAATAAAGTCGTAAACCGCCCCCCTCCCGCAAGTGCGATCGGAGTTATGAGAGAAATACCGAGGTACTCCGGGGGAAGGAGGAGGGCATTTCTTCTAGAATTAATAATTCTTGTCCCTACCAACTGTGTTGACTGGTTGGAGAGCACATGTGCGTTTATTATTCTTTTGTAGTATGGTGAGTTTCAAATCAGTAAAAAGTTGTCTTGTTTGTTGTTTTGGTATAAATGGGTATTTAGGGGAAAAATGAGATGTTTTGAAAGTGATAAATAATTAATAAATACTGTTTGGAGTGGTGGAGGTTAGAAGGTTCATAATATTGTAAATAATTGTGTGAAAGAGGGGTCACTAGGAGTTATGTGTTTGTGTGTGTGATATTTAGTGTACTGTATGATGGCTTTTTAACACTATATAATTGGATTTTAGTAAATTAAAGCAAGTAAGTTAACCGCGTGGGTAACCACGTGGTCGACAATTTTCGTTATTTTGTAAATTTAAGGGCAGTTTTGGGGAGAATTTCATCTATAATCAATTTAATTATATTGAGGGGACATTAATACAAAAGTTTTAAATTCATTGGTTGATTGACAGCGGAGATATAAGGCTAAATAGATCGCGTGGGTGACCACGTGGTCGACCGTTTTTGGTAATTTTCTGAATTTAGGGGTAGTTTTGAGGAAGTTTCTTTTAATAATTAATTTGGTCATACGGAGGAGATTATATTACAAAAGTTTCAGAGGTTTTAAGTGGAGTAAATTTTTCATTTTTTTTTTATTTTTTTTTAGGTTTTGGGAGCCTGGGGGAATTGAGCGTTAGCCAATTAAATTTGGGTGTTAATGGTGCACGGGAGAGGAAAATAAGCTATTTTATTTGTGAAAGTGGGGATAGGTTAGAGGAGTATTGAATTTTTTAGGGAGAGGTAGTGAAGATTGTGGCGAGATTAGAAGGAAAAAGTATCGGCAGTGAAAGGGCGAGATAGTTGGAAGTGGTTGAGGAAAAAAAACTACGGGAGAGAGATTAAGAAAGAGGTTTTTTTTGTCGCCACGTGGTCCGGCCATTGTACGGTGGACCGGGTGGACGTTGGAATTGGTAGGTCGTAGTGGGTCCGTGCGGGGTTTGTGTGAGAGGTGTGAAACTGACTGGCCAATCGAATTGGGGGGGAGTGGCTGGGCTCCATTTTGTCCTCCATTGTTTCTGGGAGAGAGGTGAGGGATTTGCCCGGGGGCCCGCCCTCGGCTCCGCCTCAGGGGACATTATAGCGGCGGCCATTAATTTTTCGGTGTGGGGATTATTTTAGCGATATCTCCGGTTCCGCTGGACCGATTGAGGCCGGATTTCTTTAAAAATCTTTAAGGGCGGTGAGAGAGGAGGTCCGAGGGGAAGAAGGACAGGATTTGGGGGCCTCTTCGGGTACAAAGGTCTCTTTGAACACGAAAGTGGTCAATTGTGTTGTGTGGTGGCCTACTTTCAGGGGGAAACTGATTTGTAATGGCGCAAAGCGGAAGTGCGCAAGCACTAGAAATGGTGGTGGAGCAGGGGGGAGGGGGAGAGCCTCCCCCGGCTACGCTTAAAGTGGGGGAGGGCCTATAAAAGATGAATTAAAGGAGTGGGAGGTTGAAGATGAAGAAAAGTTTCCGCCAAAATCGTCGATTCTTGAAGAGTACGAGCGGGCAATTAGGACCTAAAGAAGCCTAAAACAACTATATGAAAGAACGAGTGTCTAAAACGTCACGCGACTTAATTAAGCCCCTAACGGATAACCTGATGGAGGTAATAAGGAGAATGGCGGTGGCGGTATTGAGGACGGAGAGAAAAAATATAAGATTGGAAACGTTAAAGTCGGCTGATGCGGGGGAAGGGGAATCCCCGAGATTGGTCAGATTTTGAAGAGAATGAAATGTCCGAATTAAGGACGATCGCTGAGCTGGTAGGAGCGGTGAGGGCCCCACCACAGTTACCTGTGGCTTCTGGATCGGGAGGTAGGGGTCCGGCATCCTATGCAGTGGCGGCTGGCTCGGCCCAGACGTCCAAGGCAGCGGCCACCTTAGTGGTGGTTAAAGCAAAGGAAGGGTCGAGCGCAAAAACGGCCGACGAAATACAGGCCAAGCTGAAAGAGGCAATAAAACCTAGTGAGAACGGCTGGCAGATACAGCGGGTAAGAAGAAGAGGCAATGATAGAGTGGAGATAGAGATGCCGGACCGGGTGTCCCGGGATAGAGTCTTAGGGGACAAGAAGATAGAAAGTGCGCGGCTTGTGGCGAAGGTGGTGGGAGAGAACAAGCCGAAAATGATAATTTACGATATCCCTGTATATAGTTACTATACGATATAGCTTCACTGAGTGACGAGGAGGTTTTAAACTGCATAAGGGCACAGAACTTCCAGGGAGTCGAGGAGGTGGCTGGGGACGCCATAAAGACCTCCCACAGGGCGGGGGCCAGAAACAGGGCGGACGGACGAACAAACCTGGTGGTGACGGTGACTCCTGGCGTCTGGCGGCTTCTCAAGGGTAAAGGGCGACTCTTTGTCGACTGGTACTCCTGCCGAGTCGATGACTATGTCGGGGTCAATCGGTGTTTCCGTTGTCACCGGTATGGTCATACGGCGAGGAGGGGGTGTCGCTTGGCGGAGGGCACTGTGATTTGTTCCTATTGTGCTGGGGAGGGCCACAAGAGGGAGACCTGTCCAGAGCTTAAAGAGAAGAGGGGGCCGACCTGCGCGGCATGCAAGGCTGTAGGTAAGCCCGATGGGCACGATGTTTTATCGAGGGACTGTCCCGGATACCGCTTTGCGTACGATAGGTGGGTCTCCTTGACTAAATTGACTAAAGAGTCTGGCCAGAGACGGCGTACAGTTCACATCACTCCCGTGAAACTCGTTCATTTTTCACATAAACTAACTTATTTCATAAAAATTTTTACAGTAATTTCTCACAATAGTATTTTTGTTTTTAATCCACCATAGTCGCGTCTCATATTTATTTACGAATTATTATACATAGAAGAAAGTTCGTTAACCAGCTGCGGCGGAGAGAAGAGAAGTAGCTAATTCCCTTAAGCCGGAGAGTATTAAAGGCCATCAACACGCCTAAGTTGGTAAACAACACTTTTCTTACGTAAGTAAATATTTTTTTTTTCCTATCAACAAAATGGTGCAGTGCTCAACTTGTGACGGCCCTATCGTGAGAGACGATAAATATAATTTAAGCTGTAATAAATGCCGCGTAATATTTCACGGCAAATGTTGCAATTACAGTGAAAAGGAGATTGACTCTATAAAATTACAAAAAAAAAAGCTTGGCTATGTAAAAAGTGTGAGCAGGGCAAAAAGGCTGCCCCAGCTAGTGATAAGTTACCCAGTCCATCCAAGAGCGACGCCAGAGAACCCTCCTCATCGGATATTCTCCTGGCCGTCAACAAGCTCGGTGAACAGGTAAATGAAGATATAAAAAATTTAAAAACGTCGCTTGAGAAGTATGGTGAACTCAGTTTCGAGTTGAATGAGAGGTTCACAAAAATAGAAGGACACCTCGAAGCCCAAGCGAAACGCCTAGAAGAACTCTCCTCAGAAAATAAGATGCTGAAATCCAGAGTAGGTGAACTTGAGGTGCGTGTCAACAAAGCCGAGCAAGGTCTACTTCGTAGATCAATAGAAATTCGTGGCATCCCGGTACGCGCGGGAGAGACTCCATCGGCCTTGGTAGCCAGCGTGGGAGCCGGCCTCGGGATTAAGATCAACGCAGAGGACCTCGACTTTGTGGAGCGACGGAGACCAAGAAAAGATATTTCCGACCACCACCCGTGATTGCTCGTTTTGTGAGGCAGTCTGTACGCGACGATTTGGTGCAAAGAAGAAAGGTAAAAAGGGACTTTTCTACTAGGGATATTGGTTGGCAAGAAAACGACTCCCACCGGATATATCTCGGCGAAGAAATGTCTCCTATGAATAGACGTCTGTACTGGCTCGCCCGTCAGAAGAGAGCAGCTGGCCAATTAAAATACTTATGGTTTGCGGGGGGTAAAGTTCGTTGTAGAAAAGAAGATGGACACCCGGTGATCTACATCGATCAGCCACAAGATCTTGACATTTTCTGCTGACGGTTCGACATTCGTCAACTTGATGGTCATAATTTGGAAATGTTAAGCGTTGCCTACTACAAATCACTTGGCCGTATTATGTTACTGTTTTACCATTATTTTTTCTCTAGCACAACTGACGTAATCTTTTATTTTATCATGTTTAGTCTTTTTTATCGTTGCTGCATATTATTATTATTATTTGTAATTAGCCATTATTTGCTTCTTTTTAAATGTTATTCATTATATTTCAGCTGCCTTTCATCATATTTCTCTATTTCCTATCCAACATGACTAGTATCCTGACCTCTTGTCATGTTAATTCACAATCCTTACCAGCCCATTTCGACGAATTTCAGCAATATTTTACCTGCAATTTTCACCATACTATTGCAGTTTCCGAAACATGGCTAAAACCCCACATACCTTCCTCTTCCGTTTCCTTACCCGATCACACCTTTATCCGCCATGACCGGATTACACGAACGGGTGGTGGTGTGGGTCCTTACGTCCATAATAGCCTAAAATCCCGAACCCTAGATATCTCACCCCCTTCCAAATATCCCCACATGGAATACCTTTTTGTTGAAATTTCCTTTAAAGACCATCTTCTCCTATACGTTGTAGTATACCGTCCTCCTCTGGTACCTTTCGACCCATCCTTCGAATCAACCCTATACAAATTTATCCCATTTTACAGTAATATAATAGTTTCCGGTGACTTTAACGCCAATCTCCTTTCCGATTCCCACGATAAACACTACCTGGAAAACCTTTTCTACTCCCTTAACCTCTTTATAGTGCCATTCGCTCCTACGCATCACACTTGCTGGTCTGATACATGGCTGGACCTGTTTATCATCGATTCTGCGCAGAACCTTTTGTCCTCGTCCCAACAACCTGTTCCTTTCCTGTCTTCACATGACCTCATACAACTATCTTACAATATCCAGACCCCTGCGATCCTTCCTAAAACCATAACCTTCCGCAATATAAATTCCCTAACCCGTGAAAGCATCTTACCTGATATTGAAACCCTGAATTGGAATGATGTTTACACCAGCTCCTCAATCGATACCATGGTAGATATCCTGACTTCTAATCTCCTCCATATCCTCAATACCCATGCCCCACTTAAAACCTCTACATTACGCCGCCAGCCTGCTCCTTGGATGTGTCAAGAAATTCGAAATATGCAAAAGAGACGTGAGGCAGCCCGTAGACGTTTCAGAAGAACCAGGCTTGCAGATGACTACGACGCGTTCAGGGTACTCCGTAACTTGACGCAAACAACGATCAGGCAAGCGAAAACCAATTACTTTCATGAAGCCTTCTCCTCAGCTCCTGACTCAAAATCCAAATGGCATTTACTCCGAAAGCTATCTCTTTGCGAATCATCTTCTTCCCTAGCTGTCCCAGTTTCTCCTGATGCCTTAAATTCCTACTTTTTGTCCTCCTCCTCTAGTAATATTTCTCCCGCCTCTTCTTATATTCCTGTATCATATGCATTTAATAGTGATAATTTTTATTTTTCTTACATCACTCCTACGAACCTTATTTCCTCCATAATGAAATCCCAATCCAACTCTACAGGAATTGACGGAATACCTGTCAAACTGTTAAAATTATGCCTCCCTGAAATCCTTCCAGTTCTTCTATTCATTTATAACTTTTCCCTTCAAAATTCAGTTTTTCCTACATCCTGGAAAAAAGCCTTAGTCCGTCCTATTAACAAAATCCCTAACCCCACCTCTCCTAAAGACTATCGTCCAATCTCCATCCTCTCAAATCTGTCAAAATCCCTCGAAAGAATAGTCCAATCCCAAATTTCCAATTACCTCGAAGAGTTCAAACTTTTAGATCCTCTCCAATCTGGCTTTCGCCCAGGCTTCTCCACTCAATCCGCTTTAGCTAAAATCACAAATGACATACATACTGCAATTTACGAAAGAAAACTGACTGTATTAGTAATCCTGGACTTCTGCAAAGCATTCGACTCCTTAGACCATTCTATTCTCTTCAATAAATTAAAATCTCTATCCTTTTCCAATAGTTCTATCCAATGGTTCCAATCCTTTCTTTCTGACAGGACTCAAGCCGTTAGTATTCCGAATCAACCCTTATCTTCTTTCCTCTCTTTGTCTCATGGAGTAGCCCAGGGTTCAAGCATTTCTCCTA